CCTCACAAAATAAGGATTCTTGAACCCTAAAAACACACACGTAAGTTCTACCTAATACTAGGTATACACCAGTCTATTTATAACTTTATTCTAGACTGGGTTGGGCTTCAAAACCGCAGTAGTGAGGCTGCAAAAAGTCTGCAAAAAGTCCTCCAAGAAAATAGGTATTCAATCATTAGTTTCCTAATAAATCTCCATATTTAGAAACTGATCAAGTCTTCAAAAACCAATCACATAATATTCTGACCAATCAATCTTGGACGCCACATAAGCTAATTGAATATTCCATAAATATTTATTAGCTATAAATCAGTTAATTCTCACTGTCAGCTTGCTGCAAACACGATGTCCTATCTCCTTGTTGGGACATCTTACTCAACATGTTGAAACAGAATGTTAAAACATCTTATTCAACATGTTGCTGCTAAAATAGTTTTACCAAAATGTAAGGCAACCATAATTTTAGAGAAATAACAATCTCCCCCTTTGACACATTTTGGATAAAACACTTAAACAATCATTGCACAAGAAAAATATGCTTGAAAATAAATCAAACATACACATCATAGGTACATCAACAGAAAAATAACCATGCAAGGTTTGTAGCACAGAAATAACAGCACACACACATATAGTTAGTAGTTAGTTGATCTACTAACATAGCTGCAAAAATAGAGAACACTTAAGTTCTCCCACCATGATGTCAAACCATGATGTCAAGACATCATATCTGACACCTTCTTCATAAACAAGCAGGAACTCCCCCTCAGTAAGTGCCAGCTCCAGCACCCTCAATATCATACTACTCTCCCACAATAGGATTTGGGACACCCATGTAATTTGTAACAGTAGGATTTTTATGACCAATACCACCATAATAATAGAATCTCCATCTCTGATTTTTGCCTTCTATATGATTGACTTGATGTCTTTGTTAATGTTGGGACAAGTTCTCAGACATCCTTTTTTCTTGTTCTTTTTGTGAAGGTATAAACTTTACTTCAGACACTATTTCTTTGTTTTTCATGCCAAGTCTGTTATAACCAAGACCTCCAACATCTCCAGCATTTCTCCTAGATTCAAGAATTTTATCCAAAACATCAGAACCATTATGCAACATTCTCATAGTTTTAGTCATATGGTTCAGTTTTGAATTGAGCAACATAAACTTTTCTTCAAGATCAGAGATGATAAATACATGCTTCTCTTTCTCATCCTGTAGTTGAGCTATAGTTATCTTTTTCACTTCTCCTTCTTGACAAACTTCTTCACTTTTGATACATAACTCTCTGTAGGAAGTAGCCAGTTCCTCAAAAGTAAGCTTTTTATCTTATTTTTCATTAGATCCATAAATTCTAGCCAAAGCATTCACTTCTTCTCCACGATTAATTTCATAGTCTTCCTCTGACCATGACACAAATAGACCTTTTTCCTGTTTCTTGAGGAAGGTAGCACACTCAGATTTTATGTGTCCAAATCCTTCGCATTCATAACACCGAACTTCTTTATCTGAACTTTTCCCTTTTTCAAACCTGGACCTTCCTCCATTGTCTTGGTCTTTGTTAATATTGAAGGACATGTTCTTGACATTTGACTTAGACTTCCTCAGCAACTTGTTGAACTGTCTTCCTAGTAACATAAGTTCTTCAGAAACCTCTTCTAAGTTCAGCTCATCAGATTCCTCTGAGTCTTCAATATTGGACATAAAGGCTATACTCTTCTTATTCTAAGACCTTTCATTTATAGCAGATTGAAAGGTCTTAAGGGAGCTTACAAGTTCATCCACAGTCATAATAATTATGTCATGGGATTCTTCAATGTCAATCACCTTCATGTCAAACCTCTTTGGAAGAGATCTGAGCATTTTTCTGATCATCTTATCCTATGATATCTTTTCCCCAAGGTCTTCTAATTCATTAGCAATGTCTAGAACAACCATGTGAAAATACTGAATACTTTCATCCTCATTTATTTTCAAGTTCTCAAATTTAGTAGAGAGAAGTTGAATTTTCAACATCTTTACCTTAGAATTTCCTTCATGAACATTCCTTAGGGTCTCCCATGCAACTTTTGCATGTTTACAATTCTTTATCAGTTTAAAGATATTTTATAACCACCATTGAATATGGCATTCAATGCTTTGGAGTTTCCTTGAGCTGATAGTTCCTCCGCATCATTCCATTCTTCTTCAGGTTTCAGCACCTCGGTCACCTTTCCTTCTGCATCAGTAACCTTTGGTGGTTCCCATCCTTTGACAATATTTTTCCAGGCTTTGTTTCCTAGAGACTTTATGAACATTTCCATACGGGGTTTCCAACTATCATAGTTGGTACCATCAAGAACAGGTATTTTCACCATAATTCCTCCATCCTTGTCTATTGCACCAGAAAGTATCTTCCCTGAATCTCACCCAGAGTCAGAGCAGGATGTCTGCTCTGATACCAATTGAAATTCTGCCTATCAGATTCTGGATGTCCTACGAGATATCGAGATACTGGTTCCGACTTCACACACAATAACAAGATGTATAAACAAAAATAGCAGTGCTAAAAGTAAATAACACATAATATGTTTACCCAATTCAGAACAACTTTCCTACTCTAAAGGCTACCAAGCCAGGAACGAAACCAACTAGATAGTATCAATTTGCAGACCTTACAATGAACCTCCAGTTTACAGTCTATGCACTTAATCACTACCCTTTACTTAACTTCTGCCTAAGACACACCTAGGTATGAGGCCCTCCTCAAATCCCTCTTCAATTACACTCAGCAATTGGAGCAAACTCTAAACAAAAGTAGAGAACAAAAACCAACCGAAAGCTATACTTCTAAAACACGCAAGACTCAATGCTTAAAAACTTATGAGAATTGACACACAATATGTTCAATGCTCAAAAGCTTCTGAACAACTTAAAATAAGAACTTACAATCCAACAAATAGTCCTACTCTTCTATCAAGATGATATTAGAGAGACTCACAAAATAAGGATTCTACAATCCTAAAAATACACACGTAAGTTATACCTAATACTAGGTATACACCAGTCTATTTATAACTTTATTCTAGACTGAGTTGGGTTTCAAAACCGCAGCAGTGAGGCTGCACAAAGTCTGCAAAAAAATCCTCCTCCAAGAAAATAGGTCTTCAATCATTAGTTTCCTAATAAATCTCCATACTTAGAAACTGGTCAATTTTTTGAAAACCAATCACATAATATTTTGACCAATCAATATTGGACGCCACATAAGCTAATTGAATATTCAATAGCTACAAATCAGTTGATTCTCACAGTCAGCTTGCTGCAGATGCGGTGTCCTATCTCCTTGTTGGGACATCTTACTCGACATGTTGAAACATAATGTTAAAACATCTTGTTCAACATGTTGTTGTTAAAATGGTTTTACCAAAATGTAAGCCAATCATAATTTCAGAGAAATAACAACATTGTTATTAAGTGTTCTAATGTTCTTGTGAAGATTTTATGTTTTCTTAATGATGAACCATATTATGGTTGTGGTTTTTGGAGACTGAAATCCAATGAAGAAAAAGAAGATTTTCTTCTCCAAAAGGTCTTGGAGTTTTTATCTTTTTCAACAAGTTCAAAGACCATGACAATGAAATTTCGGTAGGGTCGAGTAAAGATTGTCGCGAATAAAATCTTAGAGTGTTTTTGTTATGAGAAGGCGGTCATTCAATATTGAAGATCTTGAAAATTTTGCACTTAGTGAGTTATGAACAACATAGGAGAATCAAGATTTAGATATGTGCTGCTTAGCATTTGGCTTTAAGTTTTCATTAGTATGTGATTATGTGTTTTATCAAAAGACGCTTGAAAAAATCATATTAGTAGAATACTCAAAATTTCCAATAGATTTCCATTAGAGACTGGACTGAGTGCAAGCGAGAACGATAGATTGAACCAGTATAAATCTCAGTGAACACTTAGGTTTTTAGGTTTTCATTTGAGGTTGTATGTTTTTGGGTTTTATTTTCTTTCTAGTTTGCATGTGATTAAGCTTTATTACTTATAACAATTTAATGTTTAAGCTTAGGTCTTTCTTATAGCAATTTAACTTATTGAGAAGTCTCAAGAGCTTTGGGGGCGACAATGACCTAAACTTCTAAAATCCAAGAGACTTTGACACTACATCTCAATCCAAAATTTTAAAGCATATAGTTAGTCGGAAAAATACATTTTTTTCGTCATTTAATTTTAAATCGGATTCATTTTGATCCCTTAATTTTTAATTTACAAAGGTCCTCAAAATTCTAAGAAAAACTACCTAAGCCACAAATCAAACTCTGGTTTTCTTGATTCCTGAACAACAGTGTACCTCAAGGCAAGTTTGATATTATTGGTCAATATTTCAACTCTAATATATCTTTACATTATTTTTTTCCACCGGATTTTCCCCTTGATACACCACCAACCACATAAAAGAAATGTTTATAATATGGTGTTCTGGATTAAATGGAATATGTTGCGCATAGTTAATGTCCTTTGATGAAAAAATTTCTACTGAATCTAATTGTCTGTATCATTCTGCTCATAGGTTTGCACGTTTGGTGGATACATTTTCATACAATTTACAAACTATACTTTTATAAAACTTTTCATCTTCTTTGCACTCAAACTAAAAAATTTGATGTCCACACCAAGTTTGAAAAAGCCCACACACACTAGTCTATGAAATTTATAAAAATTAGTTAGACTTTACTGATTTTATATATTTTAAGTTAGCTTTTGTTGTGCTTATTATCAATATACGTGATAATTTGTTGTGACTTTCTAATAAGTGAAAGATCTTTAGTTTACATCAGCTATATGTTTTCATTATTTCATTCAGCTGATGGAGGTGAAAGCTGCATATCTCACCATTAACATATACACAGAAGAAGAAATGACATAACAATTAATTACTTGGTTGAACTGTATACTCTCTTATCAAATAAACATTATTGTGGTACATTTTATACTATATCTAGCTCTAGAAAACTCACTGCTGAATTTGGCTTTCTTCTCCTTTAACAAAATAGCGCCAATACCAGTGTTTACACCATAAAGCAGAAATTGAATCCAAACGAAGGCCTTTGGTTTCGGGCACGAAGAACGCAATGAAGAGGGTCATGACTATAATCCAAGTAGCATGGAACAAGAAAGCACCATACTTCATGTGACATAACATTGACAAGAATGTTTGAGATGTAACAAATATAGCTATGAATTGCATAGAAACAACTATGCTTTGTCCAGTTGTTCTGATTTTCGTTGGAAAAATTTCACTTGGAACTATCCATATGAGAGGACCCCATGACCAACCAAAACCTGCAGAGTAGAAACTAAACAATACCAATAACAATGTCGCGTTTCCTTTCGATACACTTCCCATGCCGTGAATACCTGTTGCGTCTGCCAGCACAATAGCTACCGCGATCTTCATAGTCATAGATAACGCGAATTAGTAACATAATAAGATGGACGAGTAAAGCAAATTAGCTACAAATTTAGCGACTAATAGATTAGAGATATAATGTGTGGTTAGAATTATGCTTACTTGACTGAAAAGCATTTGTATGCCACCCGCTAAGAATAAGAATCTTCGACCAACCCGATCAATAATGATAGAGAAGATAATGATTGAAGCAAAGTTAACAACTCCAAGTACGATGTGAGCATGCAAGGCTGCTTCTTGTCCGAAACCCGTAGACTGGAAAAGGTTAGGTGCATAGAACGCGATCATGTTGATCCCCGAAAATTGCTGAAAAAGAGGAATAAGTGCTGCTATAGCCAAGTGAGGTCGATATTGTCTCTCAAATATGGTGACAAAAGGCTCTTGCTTCATAGTTTTTGCATGTAATGATCGTCTAATAAGTTCGTCTAACTCGGGTTGGATATCGTCTGAGCCTCTCACTTTGCACAAAGCTTTTCTGGCATGATCCATCTTCCCACGTTCCACTAAACTGGTTGGCGTGTCCGTTATAATGAAGGCGCCGATTGTGATCAATGCTGCTGGAACCACGGCTGAGCCTAGAGCAATTCGCCATCCATAAGGGTGTTGCGCGACGGCAGAGTTTAATATACTTGCACCCACAATGCCAATTTGTACAAAAAATTGAAAACTTGTGCCTAATGCGCCTCGCCATTTTGGTGGGGCGATTTCCGAAACGTACAATGGAGTAGCCTTTAAATCATTTGCATAAAACTTTTTAAAATTGTAGCCAATAAATTTAATTATTTTGTTAATCAATTCTCTTAAAAATCTGACACTACAGTCCAGATTCATCGAGTTAATTGATTAACAGATAACTAACTAGACTAATGGATTAAAACACATTGTAAAAACTCTAGAATTTCGAGTTCAAAATTGTAATATTATAAAATATTACTTGAAATAACTCACTTGATTAGTGAAACCAACTCCAAAACCTAGAAATATACGACCAAGGATGAGCATAGCAACATTTTGAGCACCTCCATTAACCGCACCACCAACAAGAAAGATGACACCACCCAACATGATGGCGTTTCTCCGCCCGATGGAAGCCGTGACTCGACTAGCTGTTAGTGAAGTTACTAACCCAGCTAGATATAGAGACGACGTAAATAACGTTAACAATTGACTATCATACACACAATATGTGTCTTTTTCAGCGCTTGCAGCTTTTTTTAGGACATCTGGAAAGAATTTTTCGAGAAATGGCACCATCGTAGTAACACCTCCTGAAAATTTCAATTGGTTAACCTGTTTACATTAATGCATAAATGTTATCATCAGGATCGAACCTGGACCAACACGTTCGAAACTTATAGAATCATGTTAAGAAGAGAATAAGAAATAAAACAGAAACAAGAACCTGAAATTCCAATGTCATAGCCAAAAATGAGTCCACTGGATGCAGCAACAATGCAAGTGATGATCACTGAGAGTGTTATCTTGGCCTCGATGTCAGCTGCTGGATCATCAACCGCGAATCCCCTGCCAGCCATGTTTGAATCTTCTATGATGACTATCTCTTTCTCAGATTTTAAAGCATCGGTAATACTTCCACTTTTATCACATTCTTCGGTTTTTCTTTAAATTATGTCACAACTTTGTCTCCAATGGCTTTGTTTTTATAGAACCTCGTCTTCAAATGTGAAACACCAGCTACGATGGTTTGTTACTCAAGTCATCAATAAATGTTCCCAGATGCACAAAACTTCGTGAAACAAATTCCTTTTGACAGAGAAATTTGCGTCTTACTGGCTCAGAGAAACAAAAAAGAAAAAGAAAGAGAGAGAAAATTACTGGCACAAGATATCGAAGAAAAAGTAGTTACTTAGTATTCCAACGTTTTTCTACGATGGGGTTGTTCAAAATTTTAGGAGGAGAGAGGAGAAAAAACATGGGTTGAAAATTGGTCTTGTGGTGATCCGATATATTTTGGTCAATGTCATGAGCTTTTTGATCACTCCATAGACAAGCAAGAAAAATCTGCATTTTTGTACATAAAAAAATTGAGATGAATCTAACTAATATTCCCTTTCCATAACTTTTAGAAATAACACTCCAATTGGAAATTACTATGTTATTCTTATTAATTACTATTGATGGGAGGTGTTAAGGATGGACGACAAATTTTATTTTTATGGAATTGATGTGTTTTATAGAGTTTGTTACTATTATTTTGTTATAGTATATAGACAAATTTTACTAGATGATGTTTTTTTATTTAATTTATGTATTTTAAGAAAATGCAATTGTGTTGAATTGAGTTATAATTTTTTTAAATTAGAAAAAGAAATTTTAAAATCTATTTTTCATATAATACACAACCGACCATCTAACTTGTAAGTGGTCGGATTAGTTTGGCTCGGATTTGACAAGGAAAATGTGGGTTGGACGATAAATTCAATTCACTAAAATTAAAACAAATTAGGTAATGAGTTGGTTCAAAGTTCAAACCTGGTCGAACTCTACCTATGTACACTCTTGCTTACAAGAGAATATGTCATTTAGACTTGACTATTATTTATTTAAAGTGTTAATATGTTTTTAATCTTTACAAAATCACGAGTATTTAAATTTGATTTTAAAGCATCTAGGAGCATTAATGTGTTTTCGCGGTTCTGATCTATATGGAGCATATTCAAACTAGATAAATACTTCCACCTATTTCAAAGTCAGTTGTAGTAATGAAGTCATGTTTATCTATTAATAATCACATATATCACTTTAATGGAAATATCATATGCATGGAGTGCATCGGGTTTGGTCTCTATAGATAAAGGGTTCAACCACAAGTATGATCATTCAATCAATTTGTCAACATGTTATCTGCATACATTTATCCTTAATTTTTCATTAGGATATCTTTGTTGATACATCCACTTACTCAAAAAAGTAGCGTATGAGAAGAAGGAAAATCGATAAAAACACGACATCAGAAGATCACAACCATTAGTGTTTCTCAGGTAATCCATATCATAGGTTCTCCCAAGAATAATGGCTCCCACCATGGGCGTTGCAAAGATTACCCATATCTCAAAATTCAAGTTACTCAACCATCATGGCGGTGACCAGAAGCCATATTCCCCTAGAACAATTCTAAGACGAACCAAGCCATCAAAATCATAACTCCTATAATGACATATACAGGCTCAGGAACTCACTATCTTGAAGACATGTTGATGGGGATAGAAGTCCCACCTCTCATTTTTTATCGCAAAACATACTAGGTAGAAAGATCATGGATACGTGACACATCATAACCTAGGTGTCACGGGCTCGGAGAATAGATACTAGAGAACACCATGGGTGTGATGGAAGCCCAGATTAAGCGACTCATAAAGAAGGTAGAGTTGATTGATCGTGTAACCGAAAGCACGAGAACGGCTCGTCTTTGGTCTTGTAATGATCCGAAATATTTTGGGCATGTCATGAACGTTTTGGCCACTCCATGGACATACAACAAAAATATGTTTTTTTACTCACACAAATTTTAATAAATCTTGCTAATATTCCATTCCATAATCTTTAAGAAATAATAATCCTATCCAATTTATACTGAAAATTATATTGTCTTATTAATTGTTTTTATCGAAGGAGGTGTTAGGGGATTGGCCGCAAAAATGAACCACCTTTATAGGGTGTAAACTAATTGAGTGTGTTCAAGTGCTTCAAATTTGAGTTTAACTTATAAATAATCAGGTGAGTTGGACTTAGCTTATATTTATTTAAGGCGTTAGAAATGTTCTTAATCTTTACAAAATCACGAGTATTTAAATTTAATTTCAAAGCACCAACAAATCAAGCATATAGAAGTACTAGTGTGTTATCACAGTTCTAAGCTACATGGAACATATTCAAACCAGATAGATGCCACTACCTATCTTAGAGTCAGTTATAGTAATAAAGTCGTGTTTATCAATTAATGATCTCGCACATATGAGTTTGGTAACTCTGTATATAAGGGGTTCCCTCTCAAGTATGATCACTCAATCAATTCTCCAAATTATTATCTAATTTCACTTATCCTTACTTTGTCATCATAATGTTTTTATAGGTACATTATCTTACACAAAGAAGGAGTGTGTGAGAAAATGGCAAAAATATCAAAGCACGTCATCAGAAGACCACAACCAGTAACGTGAAAGTTACATAATCTTCTCAAGTATTCTACATTGTAAATTCACCCAACAACATAGGCTTCCATCATAGGCGCCGTAAAGATTACCCAGGCCTCAAAATTTAACCATTGTGGTGGTGACTAGAAGCCACATCCCACTAGAACTATCCTAACCATCCTAAGGTGCACCAAGACATTAGAATTATGGCTTATATAATGATATATAGAGACTCAAGAACTCATAATCTCAAAGACATGTTAATGGAGATAGATAACATTTTGATCGCAAGGGATACTAGACAAAAGGATCATGGTGAAGTGACACATCATAACCTAGGCACTATAAACCTACCAAACAGATACTTAAAAACACCATGGGCATTATGCAAGACTAAATCAAGTGACTCAAAAATAAGGTAGAGTTGATCAAGTGGGACCGAAAGCACTATAATGACTCACCATTGGAAGTTCACTATGCCATATAAGAGAATAGACAACACTTAAAAGTGCTTCCTATTCTTGCGCTGCTGTAAGTAAAGACAACACTTTTTGTCTGTGTGAAAGCGCTGCTTAATGTATCCTTTAGGCAGCGCTTTATTCAGTAAGCGCTTTTTAAAGTCTCCTTTAGGTAGCTCTTTTTACATTACAAGCGCTTTTTAAAGTCTCCTTTAGGTAGCTCTTTTTACATTACAAGCGCTTTCTAAAGTGTGCCTATAGCAACGCTTTCACTTTAGACAGCGCTGTGTAATATTTTTTTGTTCACTTTTTTTATGTTTTAGACAACACTTTCTCTAAAAGCGCTTTCTAAAATCCCTTTTAGGCAGCTCTTTGTACGTCACAAGCGCTTTTGTATGCACCCCTTTAGGCAGTACTTCCTTTAAAAGCGCTTTCTATTCCCAAATATAGGCAGCGCTTTTTTGTTCAATGAGTTGTCTAATGTTCACGGATTTTTTTAATATATTCAACTTATATTTTAAGCACCATGTACAAATAATCACTTAAAAATTAAGCGTTGCCTTTCAAATTTGCACCAGATTTCATAAATTTACAGCTTCAACGCACCAAATGTACATATTTATACATACATCTTTAATCAAATAATTTATATATACATAAATGGGATACAACTTGAAGAATTCAATAATTTATATATACATAAATTTACATATTTATATATACAACTTTATAATCCAATATTACTATCTTCTAGAGCTGTTATCTTCTCTATTATCTTCTCTAAAAACAACAACAATGAAGAATCTTAAATGAACTTGTTATCTCTATATCTTATACATATGTACCTACCTGAAATAAGACTAACAAAGGCATATCAGAACCAAGCTATATAACACTTAAATCTTATAAATTATAAGTTAACACAAATCAATGTAACAAAAACAAATCAAGAATTTGTTATAATTCACCATTAAAAATTCTTCGATTTATACCATGATACAAACAAAACTTTATTTGAATTTAAATCTAATACCATCCTAACTAACCTTCCACATAACAACAACAACATTGCAACACAATTTACCACACTAATAATGATACAGTATCTCATTAAAACTCAAACTTATATATACTCAAAATTATCATCAATGAAAGTGTCACAATACCTTATAAAATCCTCATCTCAATAATGTATTGACATCAGTCCTCCTTAATTCCGTCCAATTGATCTTTCGAGTAAGTAGAAGACTTGTATTCATCAAAGTACTACATAATATAACATAATATGATTTAGTTAAAACTAATTAGTTAGATGAAATGTGTTAAATATATTAAAATAAATCATAAGTTAGAAACTCATATCATGGTTGGAATATCTATTTGATTCAAAAGAATAATTTCTTTCATAAACCTCAAAATGAAATAACCGCAATCTGCCATTACGCTGACGAACATACTACACATGGAAAAAAATACGAATATATCCTCATGTATAGCTTAATTTGTTTTATCAAGTAGAATCACTAATATAATTAAAATTATGAAAAGATACCTGCACTCTGATCCATGTAATGTTGTTTGCTTTACTCTTTGGTATTTGAGTATCTCTTTGTGATCAAAAAATTTTTATAACTCAAACAAAGTATAAACAAATATTTAGAACAATCTCACATAAATAAATAAATAAATAAGTATACAAATAAATATTTAGAACAATCTAACTTACGTATCAATCATCTCCTTGATATATGGGTATTTTGTCCAATCACCTTCTAACGAATCCAAATAATATAAAAAATTTCTTATTGGATTAATCGCAACCAACAACCAGTGTCGACTGTAAGATTAACAAAGGTTAGATGGAAACTTTCTACACAACGTCAAAATACGAAAAATTATAATAGATGAAGTTTGAATGAAAAT